TTCTGGAATGTTCTAGACTTTCTGGCATTCACCATCCTTGTTTTTCCTATCAGAGTGTTTTTCGCAATGGATCATGATGTTTCCAGTTACCAAAGCCCTAAGCTCCGGAATTCCCTTCCTCAACCTTCCCTTCTCTCTAACTGTCTTCTCCACCATTCAGAATCTGACTTCTTTTATAGAACTTTCAGTCACCTCGCCCTGATGTCTCTTTACTTGGCTTAGTGTCAACACTTGTCCCTCCTGTGAAATATGCCTTTGATTGGCTCATCACCAAATTAAACATGCTATATAAATCCAAGATGATACGGTTATAGATTTATTTGAGTTACCATTATCCATATTGAGCTCTGCAGGCAGGGATGATCAATGACAGAGGGTGATAAATTGTATGTTTTCACAGGCAGCCATGTTGTAGCATCACTGACCTGTTCATGCAGTTGACCAAATGAAGTCAGTAATGGCACACGTGTTAAAAGTGCCGGTCCGGGTGGAGGAGGGAGGGAACGCCGGCAGCAAAAGTTTTGGCCATTAATTAGACAGCTCCTTCTTTTCATTCTGAAATCCAAACCACCTAAATCATTGACATTATCATGAAAAAACGCTGGTCAATTTTTTGGGAGACTGGCCTCTCCATGTGTCCAGCTTGCCAACCCACTCGCAAGTGACAATGACCAAACAATTAACAGCCCAGGGATTTGGAACCTTCATCATTTTCAATGTAGGTTACTATCTGAGGAGCCAAGATTGGTGAATTTCCCCAAGAGGAGCAAAAGAGATTGAAATGCCAAGTCCAATAGCGATGGCCTGTACCAATTCCCATCCCATCACTTCACCTTAACAAAGGAGGGAACAGAAATGGAGGTCATTGTCCCCACAGTGTTTGTCCTGGCTCTTTGAAGAAGCTATTCAATCATTCTCACTCACTGATACTCTTTCCCCAAAATCCTACCAATCTTCCCTTTTCAAGTGTGTATCCAATTCCCTTTTGAAATTTGCTTCCACTGCTCCTTCAGGCAACACATTCCATGTGGCAACGTCAAGTCAGAATGTGGTTTGCAAACAAACAGAAAACTACTTCTCAGGCATTTAAAATGAAATGTGTCACTTTAATAACCATTGTGCCATCAGGGGTTCCATGACATTTTGTGTCCTGTATATCTAAAGTCATTTCAAAGAGACAGTCGGTGGCATGCTGTTGAAACAATATACCTTCATCGCTCGGGTTTAAGTGCACCACTTGGATAAAACCTTTGGGATCTCATAAAGTAGAAAGGCCTCAGGAACACGATGTAGTGCTATTGTGAAAATCTCACTGTCCCAAGCTGTAAAACCCAGCATGCTAACATCATAAAATATCAAAATGGCCTGTCTTTTATGTTGCATCAGGCGACTGTGACACAATATTCCATCATCGTTTGCTCCCAGCAAATCCAATACATGAAAGCTTGGTTAATCAAACAGTTATTCTGATTAGTCTTGGACTTCACAGGGCTAGATATACACAAGGTGGACAAAGCACACACATCTGTTTCTGTCGCTCACACTTCCTGGAGCAGGTCTGTAGCCTGTCACCCAGAGGCTAAAGTTTGACTGGCACCACTCTGCAACAAACATGACTGACCAGGAGACTCTCCCAATCTGACCATCCAAATATTGGAAGGTTTTACATGTTGTAAATTGGCTGCATTATGAACACACCTTCTGTGCTCATTAGGTCCTGGGATGAGATTATGAACCTGAAGCTTCTGGAGAAAAGGTAGAGATGCTATGTACTGCACACATCACCATCCAATGGAAATTTCTACTCAATATGTTCATATACATATATCCGTATACCTGTACGTGCATATCAGCAGGCATGGCTGTAAAACATACTGCATTGTTTATTATTCACACATTCTTGAAAATGGTAAACTGCATTCCACTAGACACTGGCACTTGTTCATAGGATTGCTGCTCTGCTCAAGCTTTGAAATATATGTCAGATATCACTAAAACAGAATCAACTGAGTCAAAATACTACAGATAAACAGACAGCAGACAGAAACAGAAGGAGTAAGTACAGAAATTAACCCAATGATTAATAATTGATCTTGCAAGCAACCTGAATAGTTGAACATTAACACAATCCCTCTGTTTGCAACCGTAAAGTTGACTGATGCTGTTGGGATTTTGTTTTTGGCTGCTCTTGCTGTGTTCCACTCTTAGGCAGACCTCAGTGAGAGCACAAAGACCCATGTGCAGAAATGTCAAAGACTCCACCATGTTTTATAAATAGAAAGTTCAAAGGTCCATTTCTTTTGCCAAAGACAAGGGGTGTGAGCAGCCCTGTCTGAGAAAGGATTCATTTTCCGTTAAAATAAAAACTCGGGTTACACTTTTCTTGAGATTTGAGTACCTTTCACACCGTCAGATCGAGTGAAGGTTCAACATAATTTGACATTCTGGACAGGATCTTATATCCTAAACAAAGGTGATCTGTTCCAGGTCAGGCCTTAGGTTCATGTGCAACAGCTGTACCAGATACAATCTTATTAAAGTTGCCTACCAGTTCTGTAAATCTCCTTTCTTAACACCGATTTGCCAAAAAAGGATTTATATTCAATCTGAGACACAAACTGCCCTATACTGTTACAAATACTCTCACAAGACACACCAAATGGCTGTGATTTCCTGGAGAATGAACATTCCACTGAATATTATTTTGTTTGAAGAATAAGGTAACCATTAACTAATCATGTGTGTGCCGGCTAAAGGTTATTGGTTTTTAAAACACAGGTCCCTTGTGAATCATCTGGATGTATAAAGTCTCGAAACAGAAAGTTGACTCATGCCTCCTTAATGCAAAGCTTTTTCATATGGTATTGGACAAAATTAGGTCCATGCACATACATACTTGTTGTAAATTATCTTTGTCTTTAGGGTGGGTCATCTCCGTTGCACTACCTATTGGAAGTAGGTTTACAAAAGCCTGCAGGCTTCAGGAAGAAATTCTGATTTAATGAGTCTTGTACCAAATGGAATTAAAAATCTTCGAAATTCATTGCCATACTAACCACACAGACAATGCATCAGTAACCTTAATGAGTGATTGCATGCTGTGACCAGCTGGACAGAAGAGAGATGTAAACATAGCTTCACCCTCCCTAAAATCCTACCTTACATCATCAAAAACCAAATTCATATGCACCATTAAATCACCGTGGACTGGATACCTGATGCCATGACAGCACAAGGATTAAATTGTTACTGCCCCTCATCTAATGGGAGGGCTGTATTTAAACTAGATCTTGGCCAAAATGGACTGAACACTTTGAGACAAGGTCAACGATTGCAGGACAATACAACATTACTACTAAGCAAACACAAATGTGAACCTGGAAGGGCCAATAACCCATCGCAAATGAGACATTTACTGCCAATGTACTGACTGGAATCAGATGCACAGTCAATAGACCACAAGAGATTGGTACATGTCATCACTGAGCCAAAATACATTGAACAAATTTTAGTCGTAGGCCTCTCAAGCACCAGCACACAATGACACTAAGTCAACAAGCATTGGCATCTACTACTACAGTGCTAGACTATCATTGATCAAACAGATGTTCATTATTTACTTGCTAGAGTCTGAATGACCTCCACTTGACTGCTAGGACACAGGCAAACACACTTTACGAGACCACCAGTGATAACATGTTCCTATAAAATCACTACAAACAAAAATAAGAGGCAGTCTACAACCATGGAACGCCAGCAAGTAACAAAAGAGTTGGATTAAAAGAGCAACTACCTTTGGAACATTCTCAAGCACTGAAAGGTGGCACATTGGCAGAATCTACAAAATGTTTTCACTCTGAATTTTGCAGTTCAGAAGATGGCCATTTGGTTCACTGGTCATCTGCTACACACACAAACACACTCACACACACACAAGCCTCAATGGAGCACTGCACCCCAGAAGAAGGCAAGTAAACCATCGCTATTCATCTCAAAGAGACAGTTCACTCTAGGTGCATGTAGATCTGGTCAAATCGAAATTTCTCTCAATGGATTCAGACTGGTCCACTTTAGAGAAAGCTCTTTGACTTCTAAGTGCAATAATTCCTAACCAAGCCTGGCTATTGATGGGTTAATATAAATTCTATACTTCACCCTTTGAGAAGCAAGGGATCCACTGTTGAATCCCATCTCCCTCTTTGATCATAAGAGATTATGTTATGACAGGTCCTGCAAGTGAGCACAGTGCATGGACCTTGACTTGTTTTTCAATGCAGCTTAGCAGCTCTGAGAATATTACATAGAAATGTTGCATCTAACACACATTAAAACAACTGAGGCTTCAGTCTTACTCCCACAAAACTACAAAACTGTTTTTTTCCAGTGGGGAGCAATAAAAAGGGACAAATTCCTTGTGTCCTGAAAGTTTTTCAAGCACCCCTAACTATTACCATGTAAGTGTACCAAGATGATATCTTGAATGACCAAGCATCGCAATTTTAAAACTCGCACCGCGAGGGTATAGCTTTAAGCACTCAACATTTTCCGCATATGTATATATAAAAATGTGTATGTTTGTGTCGGATGTTGACCTCAAAGGCCTGACAGTCACCCGTTAATTGGAAACATCCAATGACTTTCCCCGCAGGGGTATCCAGCTACAACTTAAGTCTGTCAGTGTCATGGGGGCACTAGGTGTCTCTGGTGCGTTATATCCACCAAAGCTCTCGCAAGGAGAGAGAGTGGGAAAAAATAAAACACAACACAAAACAAAGCTCCCAGCGAAAATAAAAATCAGTGTGGGCAAAATACAGACTCGCAGTGCTGCCAGCGTGGAGCCGCTTTGACAGAGGTAAGAAAAAAGGGCTGCAGTACTACAGCGTTTCACAATGATAGCGACTGAGGAAGGTACTGGTGGCTGTAATGCTTCAGCGAAAAGGGATGAAGCAACCTTATTCATAACAAAGGCTTAAAACACACACACACACACAGAGACCTACCACGATTGCTCTAATTCCCAGTCTCTGAAGAAGTCAAACTCGAAAAGGTCCATCGTAGTTCTTCTGGTCAGGTCTCTGGAACTAGTATCCCTGACAGCAGTGGGCTTGACAGAACATACGATTGTTCTTGTTAACTGTAACCCGTACAGTACGTGCTGGCTGGGCTGGCTCTCACAGTGAGAGAATGCTGGCTCTTTGAGCCTGCCTTAGATGTGCAAGGCAGACTGAACATTACACAGAGTTGGGTGGAGCTATAGGCAGCGAGAAGCCATGACATGGAGCCAGCACGCTATCAGCTCAGGATCTGGCACATAGAAAACACACACGCACACAATTAGAAATAGCAGCTAAACTCCAAAATCCTGACAGAGAGAGAGAGAGAGAGGAAAAAATCAGCTTTCTGGGCGAGATGTCGGGCACTAAATACATTCTCCCTTCTGATTTTTTTTTAATCAATCAGTTTAGTATTATCTGATGTCCACAAGACCTTATAGAAGCAAAAGCAGGCCATTCAGCCCATCAGCCCGCTCATCCATTCAATGGGATCGTGGCTGATCTGATAATCATCAGCTGCACTGTCCTTGATTCTTTTACTGATTAAAAATCTGCCCACCGCAGCCTTGAATATACTGAATCGACAGTCCTCTGTGGTAAAGCCTCTCCAATCCCACTTCTATTGCCACCCTGGGGATTGGCAGCAGGCTCATTGCCCAACGTGTGCCCTGTACCAGTGCATTTGTTTGAGCAGAACTTCCCAAAGTGGGGGTCGGGTCGCGTTTGGGGTCAGCAGTGGCACAACACTGGGACATTAATGGAGTATTGACCATGTCGTAGCAGGAGTGCTCCTACTCAAACAGTTCCCACAACCCCACCCACCTGCCTCCATGCTCTCAATTCTCAATGAGGGCTTGTGTCAATTCTCAAATATTTAAAAGCGGGGGCAATGGTAAGAATAAGTTTGGGAATCATTTGTGTTTGAAGGTGTCACAAATGCAGGACGCTCTATTGGATAGTATGCATGGAGAGCAGGGCATGAGACCTCAGTCGTCATGTTCCACACGTTAAAAATTCCTGGTACATTGGTGGGTCAGGGGGAGGGTGAACCACTGCCAGGCAACGTTGGCCAGGTGTGCCAGCCGAGCGCATCGACACTATGATCGCCGAGAGTCACATATGCTTTAGAGACCCTGTGCTCCCTCCACCACAGGCATCAGAAAGTCAGATGTTAAGGACAGATTGCTGTGAAAGCATCAGCCAAATACATGCACAGCCACTTCCTCAACAGAGACCTAAACTGGATTGGCAGTCTCACATCAGTTAAATGAGACAGGGAGAGAGCAAAAACAATATCACCTCCCTTCACATGACAAGTTCTCTCCACAATGTCTGACACAAATTTCTTCTGTGTTCTTCTCCAGTCACTTGAGGACAGAAGCCACCCCAGTGCAGAGTTGAGGGGGCGTTCGCAATGTTTGAGGTGCTGTCTTTCAGATAAGACATTAAACCAATTCCTGTCCTTTCAGGTGAATGTAGAGCAGAGCAGTTTTCCCCAGATCCCTGGCCAATAATTACCTCTCTGATCAATGTCACAAAACCGGATTATTCCGGTCATTATCACATTGACGTTTGTGGGAGCTTGCTGTGTGCAAATTAGCTACCACACTTTTTTTGTTACAAACACTGACTGCATGTCAGAATTTTCTTCATTGACTGTAAGGTATATTGGGGCATTCCAAGGCATGTGAAATACACTAATTAACTAAAAAAAAGTCTTGCACTGGATCACTTGCGCCTGTATGTTACTGTTCTCTTAAAGGGGCCTCCTTCTTTGAACTCCAGGGCATATCACCAATGAACAACAGCCATTCTTATTGGATTCCTTCTGGCAGCATATGGGATTCAAACTACCAATTGCACAGAGCTGGAATGACGAGTTAATTCTTTGTGCATTACTGAACAACTGGACCGAAAAGTCATCAGCTTTGGCTATGCAAAACATCCGAATGACTTCAGGAGGCTGGAAGAACACAGCAGGCCAGGCAGCATATGGAAGAAAGGAGCAGTCAATGAAGGGTAATTGACAAAACATTGACTGCTCCTTTCCTCCATCGGGAGGCATGGCCTAGTGGCATTATCGCTGGATAGTTAATCCAGTGACCCAGATGGGGACCTGGATTCAAATCCTACCACAGCAGATGGTGGAATTTGAATTCAATAAATATCTGGAATTAAGAGTCTAAAGATGACTGTGAATCTCTTGTCAATTGTTGGAAAAACCCATCTGGTTCACTAATGTCCTTTAGGGAAAGAACCTGCCATCCTTACCTGGTCTGGCCTACATGTGACTCCAGACCCACAGCAATGTGGTTGACTCTGAACTGCCCTCTGGGCAACTAGGGTTGGGCAATAAATGCTGCCTAGCCAGTGATGCCCTCATCCTGTGAATGAATAAAGGAAAAAAAAAACTGTCTATCTTGGATTCCAACATCTGCAGCTTTCTTTTGTCTCAATCATAATAACTCCAAACTGTTGGCACTCTTCAACAGTGAAGGCTGTCTGGAACCATATAAACCAACACAATGATACCTACCCTTACACAGCACCATGAGGGATGTCCATGGCCTCATGGGCAATGCCTACATGATTATTTCAACAGGCAAAGAACACAGTTCCAAAGTTGAGGATTCCACCTTCGACTTTTCATTTTAATATCGAGATGTGGCAGCATCTGCTGCACATAAAGGCAAAACATTTAATATCCATTGCCCTGTGAAAGAGAGATGCAACATTTTCTCACTTTCTCGTTGGCACTTTAGTGCCCCCCAGCACAGAGCTGTATGTGGTGGCAGTAGCTGGTTAGGAGTTGTGGCTTGTCTAGTAGTTTTCTCTATTTCATATGGCTAAGGATTCAAGTTCTACACCAGAGCAAAGAACGTAAAATCCACTGAAGGGGTGCTGCACTGTCAGAGATACCTCCAAGGCCCTATCTGCCCTCTCCAGGTGGACCATGGTAAAAAGATCTTATGGTCCTGTTGAAGGAATGTGAAGAGAGTTGTGTCCAAATCAATATTTATCTCTCAATCAACGGCATTAAATGAGATGATCTGGTAATTTAGATTATTGCTGATTATGGGACCTTCCCATTTTCAAATTAGCTGCCAAATGTCCTGCATTACACCAGTGACTAGACTTCAAGAACTGAATCATTGTCTGGTCAGTGAACTGGAATGTCTCGAGGACATGAAAGGTAATTTAAAATTGCAATTTTAAAAGAGTTTCTTTTGCAAGTATAGAGACTAAAGGGCCAGATAAAATAACCCAACAATTAAAACAAGTAAAATTCACACTATGTAAAGTGTGAGGACTTCACTTGAGTTCCAAAAGAAGGGTTTCCTTTGCATAAAGCCCTTCCCTGAAAGCATTAATTGCAACACTTTGCCGATGACTTTTGCTGCTGTAATTGAATATTTCATTAAAGAACAAAAATTGTTACAGCAAGTGATTGTAATTTGGAATATGATCATTCAGAAACCACACTTGCCTTCAGCAATGAAATGCGATTTTTCTCTATGACAGGGGAGAAATAAAATTTATTGCATCGCCAAGTGCCAATAGGTTGCAAAGGTTAGGAGAAAATGACTTAAAAATCTTCAATTTCTTGTTACCAAAATTAAACACACATTAGAGAATAAAATAACAACAAATTTCATTTGCATAGTATCCTCAATACCACACCTTGCATTTATATTGCACTTTTATTTTAGTTCAATATCCCAAGGCACTTAATAACAGCTGAGCCACAGAAGGACAGGTGTCCAAAAGCTTGCTGCAAAATGATAGGACTAAAAGTGTGGCTTAAAGAAGGAGAGAGAGAGAGCTGAAGTGGCATTGGGATTTTGTGAAGGAATTCCACGTTTGTTTTTGGAGGGCAATTTGAAAGGTTAAGACAGAAGCAGCCAAGAACAAAGGTATTGGGAGAGACTTGCACAGAGCCAGCTGATGCCTTTGTGTCACTTGCAAGTGAAATGGGCTGTAACTGCCTTGTAACAATCATGCATTAGCACTGTAATTTAGAAAGGATCTACATATATTTAATATTTATGATACCAAGCGTCAGACTGTGTACAGTACATTGAAAATATTTTTATCTATTATTAATATTTAATACACTTTCTTTCCTTTGTCAGTCTTTGTGTTACTGCTACAATCTTTGAATCATATTTTCGACACGTATTTTAGCCTGTGGGAGGTCCTGTCAGGAGTGGACAAGTATTTGAATTGCAGCCTTGCAGTGACACAGCAAGAGTTAGAGAGGGATGTGGAGCCTCCTGGAGGCTTAGTGTATTCCTGCTTCAGACAATGAACATCAAAAAAAAAGCCTAAAAGGGAGATAACAATAATATCGTATGAGAAGAATATCTATTTTCTGCACAAAACTGAAACAATTGTCGACATGTCCCACCCCCTCTAACCCATCAACAGAGCACTGTGAGGAATTCCAACTCCAACAGGCAACAGCAGCTTTTGGAATCTCTGATTGTCAAAGGTATATGAGCATATTATTTACACACTAGATTACTGCAGGTAAGGCATAGTATTAATCCTTCGCTCCACAGACTACAGGGAGTGCAGAATGAAAATTCACCATAGCAGACGTGAGAATTTTCAATTGAAAGAAAACTTTTGGCATTCCAACACCCTACCAGGCCACAGTCTATGGATATAAGGTAGGCCATTCAGAACTGGGATGAGGAGAAATTTCTTCACCCAGAGAATGATGAGCCTGTGGACTTCTGTCACAGAAAGCAGTTGAGGCCAGAACATTGAATGTTTTCAAGGAGGAGTTAAGTATGGTTCTTAGGACCCAAGGGGTCAAAGGGTGTGGGAATAAAGCAGGAACAGGGGACTGAGTTGGATGACCATATTGAATGGCGGATCAGTCTCAATGAGCTGAATAGCTTATCCCTGTTCCTATTTTCTATATTTCTACATTATGAACCAGAATTTGCCAGTAACTGAAATTTCTGACAGTTCCATTTTCTTTTGTTAAAAAGCCACTTTCAGTAATCAAACAATGCATTTGTCAAAATAATAGAAATAATATCGGTGCAATCGGTGCATTGCAAATCTGCAGAAGCTGTTCTTATGCCTAACATTGAGCTCAGTAAATTACTGGGCCAGTTCTAGCCATTGTGCCTGGACAAAG